TGTCTGCGCAGTGCTCCCAGCCCCGCCAGGCGGCATCTGAGATTCTCAGCTCTGCCGGTTTGATTTCATCGGTGCAGCGGAGTGTGGAGCTCACGCGGGGGCTGTGTGACGCGCCGCTGACCGAGCCCTGCTGCAGGTCAGGCCGTGGTTCCCCAGCGTGGCTGCGCCTTGGAGCCCGGGAGCCGCCGCCCCGCAGGGCGCTGTCAGCGGCCGGGCTGTGGGCTGCGCCGCCCGCAGATCTCGGGGACCCGTGTGCAGGGAGGTTTGGCGTGCCTGGGGGTCTCTCCTCCCCGCGCCTGTCCTGATGGGCCCGGGGTGCGCAGGCCCTGCTCACGTCAGGCGGGCGACTGAGGCAGGGCTGGGTGCCCTGTGAGCACGGAGCGGGTCCTCGGTGCCGTTCACGGGGTGGCCCGAGCACGCGGCCACGCCGTGGCCCATGTGGGCCCTGCTCTGTGCCCTCCGCAGGGAGCCTGCCCAGAGCTCGCTGCCTCGCCCGAGTGTGTCCTCGCAACTGTGTAAAAGAAGCCTGTACGTTTGCTGAGTAGACCTGGGCCACATTTGACTTTTTCTAAACATTTTTCACAGTTCCAGCCACCAAGTTAAACACCATGAGCAAAACCACCCTGGGCCAGAGCATGAGCAAATACGACCTCCTGGTGTGGTTTGAGATCAGCGAGCTGGAGCCCACCGGAGAGTAAGTCCAGCCTAGCCGTCCGCGGCCTCTCTCCCTGTTTGTGATTGCCGAATGCCGGTTCTGAATCGAATTTTGGTCGCTGTGTTCTGAGAAAACTGCCTGCCCAGTACAGAACTCAGCTCTGTGCTAACCACAGCGAGCGCTCGGAGCCGGGCCTGGGAGGGGTCCTGAGTGTGGGTTTCCAGGGGAGCCAGAGCCGGGGCGTGCCTGGGACGCGGTTAAGTCACAGTGAGGGCCGGAGGGGAGGGGTCCCGCATCGGGCTTTCTCGGTTTGGGGCCAGACGACTCTCCATTGTAAGGGGGGGGGGCGCTTGCTGGGCTGGCAGGGATTTGGCTCCCGCCCAGGAGATGCGGCAGCCCCGCCCTCCAGTTTTGACAACCAAAAATGCTTTCAGGGAGCCCGAAGGCCCTGCGGGCACCCCATCAGGGCCAGCGTCCTACACTCTCAGCCTCTGTCCGAGCTGTCAGGATAGGTGGCAGATGTAGTCACTGCCTTCAGCTGCCTCTAACATCCTTTTGGAAAAACAAGTAGGAGCGATCCCACTCCTGAGACAGCAGCGAGGGACTGTGGTAGCAAGTGCACAGGGTGGGGCATGGCCTGGTGGTTCTGTTCACGGTGCCACGTCACCCCCACATGCCACGGAGCCTGCCACAGCCCTGGTGGGCAGGGCCTCTGTGCCAAGGACTGGACGTTCCGCAGCCAGACCTGCGGTGTGGCTGTTGTGAGCGAGACGGCGGCACAGCCACAGTTTCTCCCAAGGTCACCAGCTCTCTGGTTCTGCAGAACCGTCTAGAATCTGAGATGACCTGTCTCTGGACATTTGCACTGTGTCCACAAGGCCTGGGTGCGGCTAGGTCTTGGCCATGGCCTCAGATCACAGGCGTGTGGATGGGGGAGCAGCGCCCACATGCATGAGGCAGAAGTGGGAGGCGCTTAGGGAAGGAGACAGACCCCTGCGGCTGAAGCGCCCCCCAGACCTGGCGGGGGGGAGGGGTTTCGCACACCGCCTGATGGGCTTCTGGCTTGGTTCCTGCAGGTACATCCCAGCGGTGGTTGACCACACGGCAGGCCTGCCCTGCCAGGGGACGTTCCTGCTGCACCAGGTATGAACATGGGAGCCCCGAGGGCCCCTGGGGCTGTGAGCTCACCTCCCTCAGGGCATGGGAGGGGCCGTCCTGTCCTTTTTTCTTCTTTTTTTAATGTTTCTTCCTCTGACCTTGCGTCTTTTGTACCTGTTTTTGTATCTATTTTAAATGACTGATTTGAAAAAGGTTTGTTTTAATTTCTGTAATTGGTGCCACTCATGTCAATTTTATATAATTCTTAGTTCACGACATTTGGAAACTGTTTCCTGTTAGTGGGACAGGGGTGGGGTGGGGGGTGAGGCGCCCCTGGGCCAGCACCTGGCTCCTCTGGTGGCGTGAATGCCGCCAGGGCTCCAGCCGACCTGTGTCCTCGCGGGCCCAGCTGCAGGGTTGGTGTCAGCTTGAGGGCGCACCCTCCGCCGCCCCCGGCCAGTGTCAGGGAGCATTCAGCTTGGCTTGCTCAGGGCTCCTAACCCGCCTGCCCGCCCGTCCCACCCCCAGGGCATCCAGCGCAGGATCACGGTCACCATCATCCACGAGAAGGGGAGTGAGCTCCACTGGAAGGATGTCCGGGAGCTGGTGGTCGGTGAGTGCACCGTGCGGGCCGGCCGGGCCTGGTCCTGCACAGAGCCCGGGATGTGCGGAAGGCGCTGCTGGGGAAGCTCGCCGAGCAGAGAGGCCCTGAGCCTGAAGTCACTCCAGTTTCTCAGCGCCCGTGGGGGGAAATCCAGCTTCTGCTCAGCTGCCGGGGCGGCTCTGTGCGGCTCTGTGCGGGCCATGAGCGCATAGCTGAGGCCTCAGCTCAGCGGGGCTGGTGCGCCGGGCCGAGTGTCGAGTGAGGGCCGGGTGAGGATGAGCAGACGCCTGTGCTGAGCATTCACGGAGGCGCCAGCCGCCCTCACTGGGTCTGGGAGAGCGTCTGAGCAGGCTAACAGAAACCAGAGGGTGCGTGTTAGTTTTGTTTTAGTTTTGTTTTCCAGAAATATTTTGAGCAAGAGTCAGGCTAGAGAGTCCAGCCGTGGCCGGTCTGTCCACGGCCCGAGTGGAGAAATCCGGAGGGCAGGCTGACAGCGTGGGCCATGTCCACTTTGTCACGCGCAGCTTGCCACGTAAGCGCCTCTGTCGCGATGCGTTAAGCAGGCAGGGGTCCCACTTCGGCCGTTCAAAATGACGACGAATGTCCAGGCACTTCTCGCAAGCGGGGGAGCACCTGCGCGGTGCCTCTGGTGCTCGGGCTTGGCCCCGGTAGGGGAGACGCCAGATTGCAGGTAGCGAGTTAGGAAAATAAAGCTTCAGTTGTTTCCTTCTTGCTCGTTCACGGGCGACTGGGGTGTCTGGACCCGTGAGCTGGGCGGTGACGGCGATGCAGACGTTGGGGTGAATGTGAGAAACGCTTAGCACAGAACGGGGCTCCACAGTGGCCCACGGGGCGGTGAAGAGCCGGAGAGCCCCTCTGCGCCCCCACCCCGCCCCGGCGCCTGCGGCTGCACCAAGATCAAAGACGCTTCTGCTTGAGTTTTTGTTTACAGTGAACCCACGTGTGGCTTCTTCATTTTCCCTCCAGGCCGAATAAGGAGCAAGGCCGAGGTGGAGGAAGCTGCCGTGGACGCCATCCTCTCCCTGAACATCATCTCCGCCAAGTACCTCAAGTCTTCCCACAGCTCGAGCAGGTGGGGCGCCCTCAGGGCGGGCAGCTCTTGGGGGCTGGCCGATGGGCCAGACAATAGGAAGTTCGAGTAATTCTGTAGAAGCTGAATAGAAGGCCAGGTGAGATAGTAGAGTGATGAGATTTGGGTTTTCCTGCATCCGTCCGGCAGTGAGAGACTTTGCAGAAACAGCCCTTTTGCTTTTATTGATCAGCCGGTTGTCAAGTCACTTTTGACTTCAGAGGAATTTCTCACCCTGGTGCAGGGCTTGCTTGTCAGGGCAGGCAGGCCTTCTGCGGCTGAGGCAAGCCAACTGTAAGCTGAAAGTTGCTCAGAATATTTCGATATTACGATTGCACAAAAAAGGGAGGTCAGAACATAAGTTAGCAGTGGAAAGTCTGATTTTTCAGAGCTTTTCCCCATCTCCCCAGAATCTGTGGGACGACAGATGTTGCATAGCTTGTGTCATGTGAGAAATATTTTGTTTATTTTTAAACATTTCTCTTTTCCTGTCAAGACTGCTTATCTCATCTACTCCTTTTGGAATAAGAGCTCCAACTGGCTCGACCCTGAAGGAGGCTCCCCAGCTCTGTCTAGCTGAGGGACCCCGTACATGACAGTGTCGCGTGTGCTCGGGCTTTTTTTTGAACGACTGAGCCGTCGATGCAGCTGCTTTTCAGGAGATCCCGAGACGCCCGTGCGGCCACATCTGGCTGGGCCGACGCGCCGCGCGGGCCGAGGCGTCTCAGGTCCCGCCTGTTTCTGGCCGCAGACGCTCTTCCAAGCGCGACTCGCCGGGTGTCTCTTCAGTCCGGGCTGTGTTTCTCACAGCCGGCCCTGGAGAGCAGCGCCGGGGGCTCGGGTGGCCCCGACTCCCTCGTGGCTTGCAAAGCAGAACAAAAAGCCTCCCGCCACGCGGCGCTCTCGAGGCCTCAGAAGCCCTTCGTGTAAATCAAGTTTCTCAGTGAAGCTTTTCCTTCCGGTTAAGTGGGAGCTTGACCAGCCGCGGCCGCGGGAGCCTCTGCAGGTGCCGACGGCCGCGAAGGCGCTTCTGTCCGGCCTCTCGGGGTTGCCGGTGCCCCCCCGGGGGCGGGGCTCACGTCTCGTGGGCTTGGATGTGCCCAGACCCTGCCGTGGGCTGGTGGCCCCGGAGGGCGGGAGGACGGCAGGGGCGGTGGCAGCGCTCGGGGCTCCCGCTCGGTGGCAGCGTCAGGATTTGCCCGAAAACTCGTGAAGCTGATGGCGACTGGGCCGTGTGGCAGGAGGACTGCGCCGAGCCCGTGCTGGCCTGCAGCGGCCGCCTGGCCCCGGCCAGGTTTGCAGAGCTGGCGGGTGTCATGGCAGGTGGGGCCTGTCACGGGCAGGGTCCCGGGCAGCTTCGAGTTGATGGGGGTTTATCAGGTGAAGCTTCGTTGTTATCTGAGTGTGAGGTTGGAGTTTTGGGAAACTGGCAGGTGACTGGCGCCAAAGTCGTTCTCTTAGTGAAACACCAGCTGAGAATGGCCTCTCGACCTCCTAGGCGAGCGAGGCTCTCTGTTCCTCTGTTCTTCTACCGGCCGCCTCGGTCCATCCTCCCAGGGCCGGGCACCCCGAGGCCGGAGGACTGGGCAGTGATGGGGGTGGAAGCTGGCTTTCCAGCGCCCGGTGCGCCTGCCCTCCTCTGCTCGGCAGGGGCTTTCCCAGCCTTCGCTCCATTTCTGCCCACACGCACGTGGCCTTCTCACCCTGACCCTCTGCTCGCGCTGCCTCTCTCGTGTCCTAGGTGGGGGAAAGCGGCTTGTGGGAAAAGAAACAGGACAGCTCCGTGCTCCCTGGTGGGTGGGGGCAGCCGAGAGGGCAGAGGTCTGCGCAGTTGTCCGGACTTGGTAAATTGAAAGTGTCGGGGGTGCAGATGCCGTAGCCTTGCAGGGCCAGCACCCCGCTGCTGACCCCAGCTTCTTGGGGTGACCCCCTCCTGCCTTTCCCACCTTAGGTCCTTCTACCGATTCGAGGCGGTGTGGGACAGCTCCCTCCACAACTCCCTCCTCCTGAACCGCGTGACACCCTATGGGGAGAAGATCTACATGACCTTGTCGGCCTACCTAGAGGTGAGCGGGCCAGGGCTCGCGTGGCTGAGAAGGTCCCGTCTGAAGAGCGGCCTGGTTGCTGGGGAAACGGCAGCGCCGCGTCGCCCACGGCCCTCCTTCCTCGCCCCAGGCCCTCAGTCACCGTGGCAGCTTCGCGGGCGGGGTGCCGTGTCAGGCTCTGTTCCTGGTCACACCCGAAAAGTCACGTTACTTCTGGAACAGCTTCGGCTTCAGTAGTCTCGCCTCTCCTCAGGGGGGCTGATTTTAATTTTTTTTTTATTACAAAGTTTATTTTTACATCATTTTGCACATTTTTTTTTCCATCTCGATTGTAATCCTCGCGGGTTTCCCATCACCAAATCACCCCTGTGCCACCACCATAGTCCCGTGCATTTCCCCCCCCTCCCCCCTCCCCCCCCCCCCCAGTTTTTGATCCCATTCCCCACTCCGCAGGGGGGCTGATTTTAGGAAGCCCGCGCCCTCGGGGTGGTGGGTGGAGCCTGGCGCTGGAGGCCACCTCAGGCAGGGAGCAGTAATGTGCAGGTGCCCACCGCCCTGAGTACTTCCTGTTGGGTGTGATTTGGTAGGTTATTTTTGGGGTCTGGGAATGCTCTAAAAAGGTCCATGTAAATCAATGGTAGCAGCGTTTACTTCAGAGGTCTGTTGAGGGATCACATAAAAGGGTTTAGAACAGTGCTTGGCACCTAATATAACAACTATTAGCTGATTACAGAAAAAAAAAAAAACCTTGGGAAAAATAAATGCACCCCCAAGGTCCTGCCCTCCACCAGCCGCCTGCAAGGCTGCCTGGCTGCCACCGCTGGGCCGCTGGCCTTCCCCCGCCCCCTCCCCCGGGGCCGGCTCTCCGGGTGCCGCCCAGACTGGTCACGGGCTCTTGCTCTGTCTGCCTCCAGCTGGACCACTGCATCCAGCCGGCCGTGATCACCAAGGACGTGTGCATGGTCTTCTACTCCCGCGACGCCAAGATCTCACCGCCCCGCTCTCTGCGCAGCCTGTTCGGCAGCGGCTACTCGAAGTCGCCTGACTCGTAAGTTCTCCGGACAGGCTGGGCTGCCGGTCGGTTGCCCGGTGCAGAACCAGCCGCCTGGCCGCTCGCTGGCTGGCGCCTGGGGAGAGTGACGTGAAGCCGCTGGAAGGAAGGGCGTCCGGTGCGTCGCCGGACAGCCCCGTGGGGGCCGGTCTCCTCAGGGTTTCTGACATCACCATCCGGATTTGTTTCCTTTTGAAGACTGATTCCCACTTAGGATATGCAGAAAGGGTAAAGGTGACCCCCTGAGCATGCCCCAGCTTAGGAAGGGGGTGTCGTTATGAGAGTGCAGTGCCCCTCTGCACCCTAGAGGTTCGTCATTTCAGCCGGCACAGACGTCCCCCTCACGTCTTCTCTCGGGATAAGAAAGGCGCGTTTCTAACTCTCACGTAACATTTTCTGGCTTACCATAGTCGTGAGGTGAGCGTTTGAAAGACGGAGCTGAGGACAGCCTCATTCCAGAAGATCGACTCCTCCAGTCCAGACCAGGCGGGCGCTTGGGGGTGTGGGGGTACAGTGCTTCTGTCAGGCAGAAAACTGAGATTTTCCTGTTTTCGTGCTCTGAGAAGTAAAGCGGTTCTTTGTTTTCATTCAAACAGCAATCGAGTCACTGGAATCTACGAACTCAGCTTATGCAAAATGGCAGACACGGGTAGTCCAGGTAAGTGCTCTGCAGCTGCGCAGTGACCCTTGCCTGGGCGGGGCTGTGCTGCTTGGAGGACGGGAGCGAGCCCACGGAGGACAGGGCGGAGAGGTTTCCCAAGCCCGGCGCTTGCAGCCGCCCACGCCGTCTGCGCTGGGCGAGTTTCACGAGCAGCGCGGAGCAGACGTCGCTGGGCGTGCCAGGCTGAGGAGGGGGGCGCGGCAGCCCTGCCTGGAAGAGCTCAGCGTCGGCCAGCGGACGCGGTCACGCCCCGGCTCCGCCTGGCGAGGGAGCTGCCTGAGCCACGAGGCTGCCGAGAGCCCACGTTGGGCTGAACGTGGCTGTGCCCCTTGTGGCGACTCCTCAGTTGCTGGGCCCCCAACGCCATGACCTGCAGCAAAAGTTTGCCTTTCTGTGTTTGAAAACGAGAAAAGTCAGGTTTTTAAGAAACAGTTTGAGCGTGATTTGAATTATTTAGAGACTCTGGAAATCAGGCCAGGGTCCAGAGGAAAGATTTAGATTTAAAAAAAAAAAAAAAAGCAGCTAGTTAGAGCTCAGATGAGCACGTTACAGAATTTTAAAAATCAGCCCAAATCCCCGCCTTCACATGGGAAACCAGCGTGACACTCTGAAAACCTGGTGTGAACCGATGGCAGTGACACCTCCCTGAGCCAGTGCCGAGCTCCCTGCGAGGGCGCCCTGTCTCCCGCGGGGCTTGTCCAGGCGCCCCTGGGCGGTCGCCGACTCAGCCTCTGCACTCACGGTACGCTGAGGTCCCCTCACGTCGCTCGTGTTCTTCATTATCCAAGAGCGTGGAGCTCAGTTTAGGAGTTCAGGGCGTTGCCCTGGGAGAAGAGGGAGGAGCTTCTGTTAGTAGAAAATGTCCAAGGTGTTCTGAGACCAGCTGGCCCACTGGCCCCCTGTGTGAGTCCCTCATTCCCTTGGGACTAGGGCTGAGGTCGGACTTCGGTCTGAAGCATTAGAGCAGACCTGTGGTGCTCTCGTGCAGGCATGCAGCGGAGGAGGAGGAGAGTCCTGGACACGTCGGTGGCCTACGTGCGGGGCGAGGAGAACCTGGCGGGCTGGCGGCCCCGCGGGGACAGCCTCATCCTGGAGCACCAGTGGGAGCTGGAGAAGCTGGAGCTCCTGCACGAGGTAGCGGCTCCAGCCAGCCCCGCGCCCCCCGCACCCCCCCACCCCGCCACGGCGGCGCCCGGGTCCTGGCGGCTCTGCGCTTGCTGGGCCTTCACGGTCGCCCGTCCTTCTCCGCAGGTGGAGAGAACGCGCCACCTCCTGCTGCTGCGCGAGAGACTTGGCGACAGCGTCCCCAAATCCCTGAGCGACTCGCTGTCCCCCAGCCTCAGCAGCGGGACCCTCAGCACCTCCACCAGCATCTCCTCTCAGATCTCCACCACCACCTTCGAGAGCGCCATCACGCCCAGCGAGAGCAGTGGCTACGACTCGGCGGACATCGAAAGCCTGGTGGACCGAGAGAAGGAGCTGGCCACCAAGGTGCGGGCCCACCCTGCGCCCCGGCGCCTTGAGCCTGGCGCTCGGTCCGTGGTTCCCGCGCCTCTCCTTTTGAGGCCTTGCGAGCGCCGTGCGCACGGGAGCAAACAGTCCTCCTCTCCTCCCCAGGGAGAACCCCAAACCCCAGCAAGTGGGTGGCAGGCAGATAGCTGGGGTGCATCTAGGATGCTGCGGGGCCAGAGGAGCGGCCGCCAGGGCGTCAGGGAGGCCCGGCCAGGAGCCGGCAGTGTGAGCCTGGTGGCGCGGCCGGCACTGACCGGCTGGCGGTGCCCGCGGAGGGGTGCAGAGTGCTTTCCGTTATTCTTTTTAGACAGGCTTCTCCGGAAGCAGTAGGGCGGGCGCACTTGTGCTGAGGAGATAGGCTGGAGGCAGAGAGCACTGCCGGTCGTGTAACCTGGCCGAGCAGCAGCGGCAGCTTCTCCGCGGAGCAGGGCCCTGGCTCGGCCGGGGAGACGCCTGTGTGGCCTGTGCCGACACAGAGGGCCGTTGGGGTGGGTCTGGCGCTGCCTGCAGTGGGCGGCCGGAAGGAGGGTCTGTGATCAGCCGGTGTTCACGCCCCCTGGCTCGGGGCGACTGGGGCAAGGGCGCCCCCGAGCGTCGTGTCTGCGGTCACTCCAGGCAGCCCCGAGAAGCCTGGGTCTGCTCACTTGCTGTCCTGTCTGGCCGCCGCCAGGCCAGGCCGCCCTCGCGTGTGCTGGGCGACTGCCCCAGCAGCCGAGCGGAACGCCGTGGGCTCAGGCCGGTGCCCCTGCCCCCGGCAGGGCTGCCTTTGGCCACCGGCACTGACTCTCCCCATCTCTCCTCCCCAGTGCCTGCAACTTCTCACTCACACTTTCAACCGAGAACTCAGCCAGGTGCACGGCAGCATCAGTGACTGCAAGGTGAGCCGCGCCGTTTCCCACCGGGTCCCCACCTGCGCTGGGTGGCCAGGGTGGGCATCACCAGGTCCCCACCTGCGCTGGGTGGCCGGGGTGGGCGTCGCCGGGTGGCCAGGGTGGGCGCCGCCGGGTCATCACTGCACTGGGCGGCCAGAGTGGGTGTCGCTGGGTCCCCACCCGCGCTGGGTGGCCGGGGTGGGCATCGCCGGGTCATCACTGCGCCGGGTGGCCGGGGTGGACGTCAGCTGGCTATAGGACGCAGCTGCCCTTGCAGGCATCGAGTCCCAAGTCGCAGCCCTGCCTGAAGGTAAAGGCCCTCTGCCCCTGGGAGCAGCGTCGGGTTGGAAGTTTGCCTTCTCTGCGCCTCTCGGAGCAGCCTGCAGGGGTGGTGCTCTGTGACCACCGCACAAGCAGTCTCCGGGTTCTTGGCGGCTGTCGCCTTCAGCCCAGGGGGAGGTGGACGCTGAGAGAAGGTCTGCACCCTTCACTCCACCCCGGCCCTCTTGACCCGTTCTGTGAACATTCCAGGCTCATCCCTGCCCTGGGTCTTTGCCCCCTTGCTGGGGTTTGGCCTGGCGTGGTCTTTCTTTCAGATGTTCCCGTGAACAGCCTCCTTTGCTGTTTCCCTTTTCTACTCAAACTTCCTTAGCTCCCAGCTCCCCCTCACCCCTCTGCCGCGAGCACTCAGCCGCCGCGCTCACCTGGCCGCTGCCGTGTCTGCGCCTGGCGTCCTGTCTGCCTGCTCCCCAGAACACGCAGGCTGCGGGGGTGGGGGGCAGCCCCCCTCCGAGTGCTTGAACAGTCTGTCTTCCATGCCTGGCTCTGTGGGCAGGCGTCGGCTCGCTGCTGGAGGCGACCGCCATCGGTGGTTGCCTTGATCCCCACTGTGCCCCACAGGCCACAGTGAGCACGGCGTCGTCTCGGAGCAGAATCGTGAGACCGCGTCTCTGGTGTCGGGGCGCGGTTGCAGCAGTGGCTTTTCTGTCCGCCTCTCACCGGCCCTGTTCTCTTTGCTTCCAGCTGTCCGATATCTCTCCGCTCGGACGGGACCCGTCTGTGTCCAGTTTCAGCAGCGCCACCCTCACCCCCTCCTCCACCTGCCCCTCTCTGGTAGACTCGAGGAGCAGCTCCTTGGACCAGAAGTAAGTTTGCAGCTTGCGCCTCCTCTCCCTCAGTGGTTCTCGAGCGAGGCGGCACCGCCGGAGGCTGGCCCTCGCTTCGGGGTGTCCCAGTGGCGGGGGAGCCTCACTGGCACCTTACAGTGCTGTGTCGTGCTCGCTGTCCACCTCCAAGCTCGGACTCTGCTTCCTCCCTCCCCTCGTTGCGTCCTCTGTCCTTGGGGGCCCCACCGTGGGAGAAGTGTTCCGAAACGACTTTGCAAAAAATATTTTGATGACGGTAAACAAGAAAAGGACAGCTTTCGTCTCGGTCCCACTGGTCACGATAAGCCCTTTTCTGCCCTCCTCTGCCCTCTCCATTCCCTGCGCTCACGTGTCGGCGTCCACCTGGTGACTGTCCCTGTCTGCCTGATGGTTCCAACACGGACACATGCAGGTGCGACAGTCGGGTAGTGTCATTGCATTTAGGATGCCAGCGGCTGCAAACATTATTCTGTTGCTGCTAAGAAGAAATAGCACTAATTAAAATGTGACGTTGTCAATAGAAGTAGCATCCCAGTTTGAGAAGAGGTGAAGTATGAGAGAAGCAGGCTTTGTAGACTCAGCGTAAATAAAGGCTGTTAGCTAGGCTAAGCTGCCCTGCAAAGGGAGCTCGGAGCCCGGGCACAGGAGTCCTTTCTCGCGTAACGGCCCGGGCTGTCCTGGCTGGGGTGAGCTCCGCTCCACACAGTCACGCAGGAAGCCAGGTTCCTCCTGCTTCCTTGCTTTCCAGCCAGTCCTCAGCATCCCCACATGCTCACTAAAAGGGGGGCTTACTACAGGGGCACTCACCAAAGCGTGGATAGCTGAGCCCTGCCCAGAATTTCTTATTCAGCGGCTTTGGGGTGGACCCTGAGAATTTGAAATGCTGGCAGGTCTCCAGGTGAAGCCGGCGAGGGGCGATGCTTTGAGAACCTGCCCAGGGTGGGCCAGGTAGACACACACAGGGGGCTGAGCTCCTGTTCCATACACTTCTGTTCAGGGGCTGCAGAATAGGAAGAGGCCATGTCTCTTTTGCCATCAGTGACCAGTTTCCTTGTGTAACTTGCAACGGATGACACTGGGTTTGGAATTCACTTTCTGGGACCAGCTTGTCCTCCCTGTGGGGTCTCTAAAGCTGACGTTTGCAGAGGCAGTGACGGTGTGAGCCCTCTGGTCTGACCTCCCTGAAACTCATCACCCCATCTCCCTCCCGCTCTCTCTTAAAGGACCCCAGAAGCCAGTTCCCGAGCCTCTAGCCCCTGCCCAGAATATGAGCAGTTTCAGATTGTCCCAACTGTGGAAACACCCTTTTTGGCCCGTGCAGGAAAAAATGAATTTCTCAATCTTGTCCCAGATATTGAAGAAATTAGACCAGGGTAAGTATTATACTGACTGGGGTGCTGGGGATGAAGCCAATAGTAGGCTCTTAGAAAGACGAAAGGCACCGCCCCCTCGTGTAAGAGTCAGTCAAGCGTTCTCGGCACAAGGAGAGGAGAGGCAAACCGTTCTCTTTCTTCATTGTGTCTGTGAGGCGGCACGTTAGCCAGAGCCTGGCGGTCGTCTTCTCACAGGCGTGCAAGCGGCCGCGCCTGGCGCGGCGGTGTCACTGCCCCGAGCTGGCTCC